GCACAAATTTTTGTGCACCAGGCCTTGAATATATATATATATTTTTTTTTTTCCGAACATTTTAATATATTAGGTCTCCTCTCTGAAAGCATGGTTTATCTGTAAAAAATTTTTCAGATTTTTTGTGTTTGTAAATATACTATGGCAATATTTAAAGTTTTCTTAATTTTGAATTTACAATCTTTGTTAAGTCCTATGCATTTAAATATTGAAACTGCTGTGTACATGACATGTTTTTCCTCCAATATACCATTTAATTACTTCTTATTTACATAAAAGCCATTTATTTTCATGTATATATTAATAAACATAATTGTTACTGTGAAAATGTTTTGAAAATATTATGTGTAATATATGTAAATATACTAAACCACATTTTAAAACTTTTCTTCTGAACTAATTTTTTTAAAAAAAATCTTGATGTTTGGCTCTAAAACCCTAAATGGATATAAAAATAATAGCAGGTATTTAACAACAACAACAAAAGACTTGCAAGGGAAGCAGTATTGTAATAAAAATACTTTTAAGGAAATTATTGTTTTTTTACTCTCAATAATTATAACAAAAGTAATTTATAATGAATATATTATAATTAATAACTTGTACTATCTTCTAGCACACGTAATAACCACCATTTCATAAAGAAAAATAAAGAATTAAAAGTAATATTGGTTTACAATGCAACTCACAAATGCAGTAATCACTATTCATTTCAAAAAGATGTTCACTAGCACATATTAAATATTTTAAATGTATATGTTTAATTTAGTCACCTAAACTGTAATGTTCACAGCTTTAAACAAAAGGAAAGTATGAAATGAGAACTTATCTTCTTTTTGCTATGACTTTATCTTTTCTTAACTATAATTCATACTTTTTTATTTCACTTCACAACCCATTATCCACTCTGTCAGTATCATCTTTTATCCAACCTAATAATACATATAATGAACACAGATGATGACATTGAAAAGAAACAGTGCATGTCAGCTCTTTCTCAAGTTGTGCATCATAGACCAGTTGTCCTTGAAGGGGCTTCTCCTAATTAATTACTATCCTTATTTGTAGAGCAATCATATTGGCAAGAATTGATTGGGCGTGTAAGGCACTTCATTTAGTTGGTAGAAAATTCTCTTAATTAAAATAATTTTACTGTTGGTAAAATTAATGCACCCCATGCAAACTTGCCAGCTTGATTTTAATGTTTTTCTTCAATATTATTTTATGGAATAATAGGAAATAAGATCTTAATAGTAACAACTAGAAAATAAATGAGAATTACATAAAATATGTCATTTACATTCTTTTTTCTTTTTTTGCACTTATTCTAAAATCTGTTTTTGAAAACACTACCAAAAGTAGTTGCATTGTTTAAACTTTGTACTAATCATAACAAATAATTTTTGTGCCACTACTGAAATATTTGTTGATAATTGAGCTGTATCACACTGAATTCTTTCGCTTGGACAGCCAAAGTCATTTAAAAATATCAGATATGGAGGTCACATAATTTGTATCCTATATAATAAAAGGCTAATATGCTAAGTGTCTGGTCATCCAGTTGGCCGTTCAACCAATCAAAGCATAATATGCAAATCATATGCTAAGGCCACTCAACTGCTTGCTATGATATGCACTGACTACCAGGGGGCAGCCAGTCAAGTGGTCAAATAGTCACTATGACAGCATTGACCACCAGTTGACAGACACTCTGACAGGTAGGCTAGCTTGCTGTTGGGGTCTGGCTGATCAGGACTGAACTAGATAGGCCAAACAGCCTGGAGCCCTCCTGCGGTCCCTCCCTGGCTGGCTAACTTCCCATATCCCTCCCTGGCCCTGACCATGCACTGATGGGGTCCCTCGGGCCTGGCCTGCACCCTCTCACAATCTGGGACCACTCGGGGGATGTCGGAGAGCTGGTTTTGGCCTGATGGTGGAACAACCGGTCGCTATGACACACACTGACCACCAAGAGGCAGATGCTCAATGCAGGAGCTGCCCCCTGGTGGCCATGCGCTCCCACAGGGGGAGCACTGCTCAGCCAGAAGCCAGGCTTATGGCTGGCAAACTCAGTGGCAGTGGCAGGGGCCCCCCATGAGTGCACGAATTTCATGCACTGGGGCCTCTAGTTTAGTAATAATTACCTATGTTGATTAAGGTTTGAACATAGATTCATGCAGTTATAATTAAATATGCTTGTATTACTTTGATGATAATTGCTCAAAGCTGATTTATCCATGAACAATTTTGACTTCATATTATCCCTATGTCCTAGAAAATATATGTTGTCCTACTCATTTATAAAATTGATTCTTTTGTTAAAGATAATTTTACCAATGAGCAATTTTCCTATTTATTACTATTTTACTTAAAATGTTTGCTATTTTATTGTTGTGAATATTATCTTTAGTAATTTTTAGTTCTCAAAGAATTTCAATGTTTATTATTAAGTAAATGGATGTATGCATCATTCCTACATGGAGACAAAGGGAAAGCAAACATAAAAATGATGTTGGCACTGAAGTCCATGAACTAATTTGGCTGGTAACAATAGATTATGCTTCTCAATCTGCAACATTAAAAGCATTTGGAGAGGCTGCACAGATCTCCTATGTCCACCTCACTCCAATGCCAGTTTGTTTGCTCTGTAGTGGCAGTAGAGCTATAAGTATCATTTAAAAGCCACCTCATGTGACTGTAATATGTGGCCAAGTTTAAACCTCTGAGCTAACACAATCCTTAAATAGTGCCAAGACCAGATGTTTTAGGTAACTTCTCTATACACAGTTGTTGTTTGTTTTGTTTGTGTCCTTTGTGAAACAGCAAGTATTTATAAATCAGTCTCTAAACTTCTTTTTATCATTAACAATCTAATCAAGAAGCCATTGCAATCTACTACCATGTTTGATCTTCAGAGTGATTTACTTAATGAACCGATAACTATTTCTGTCATTAGGAGTTGTTAACTCTCCAGAATAGCATATTAGGAACATAATGAAATAAATTATCATGTTTTCTGTTTAAAAGACTAATTGTTAGTTTACTTCTGCTTTGTTTTAATGTTATAGTAGTATTATAAGTGCAGCTGCAGCCAGTTGAATACAGTAAGCCATTATTTGAGAACAGACATAACAAATCTAATTTGCTGATTGTTGCCGAAACCGGTTTGGCTCAGTGGATAGAGCGTCGGCCTGCGGACTGAGAGGTCCCAGGTTCGATTCCGGCCAAGGGCATGTACCTGGGTTGCGGGCACATCCCCAGTGGGAGATGTGCAGGAGGCAGCTGATCGATGTTTCTCTCTCATCGATGTTTCTAACTCTCTATCTCTCTCCCTTCCTCTCTGTAAAAAATCAATAAAATATTAAAAAAAAATAATTTGCTGATTGTTGATAAATTATAATTCCAAAATATCATTGACAGAAGAAATATTCCTTGATAGAATTAATTGGACTATCATACAGTTTTCAGAATGTGGATTAATTTGCATAAGCTAAGTCAAATAGTATTCAAAGTGTAATCAAAGAACAGAAAATATGCTCATCAATATAGGTTTTGAAATAGGAACTTGCAGTATGTAAAACAATTAAAAGCATATTTAATAAAATATGTTAGACTTGTTTCAAGTGTTAAAACCAAAAAACTAGAATTTCTGTTGATATCTCTACCATTTTCTCTCTGTACACAATTCATAAACAAGAACTTCTAAATATTTTAGCTATAATTATCACACTCTACTGTTTTTACCCTAATCTATTTCTCCACTTGATCTTTTTTATTAAATGTGTCAAACTTTCCAATGATTTCATATTTGGAATAAAAGCATGAATATTTAAGCCAATATTTTAATTCTAGCATTAAAATATTTCTCTCCCCAAGCCTTATTTTCACTCTTGTTCTCAGAGTTCCAGCCAGGCATCAAAGGATTTATCTCTTCTAATTTTGTATTTTTGTTTTCTGATGGTGGTGTTTTTGTGTTTTGTGTTGTTTTTCTACCTGCTTTATTGGAGATATGATTGACATACAGAAAGTTATAGATGCTGAATATATACAACGTGATATGTTTGGAGATCAGTATGTACCCATGAAACAATAATCACAATCAATATCAAAAACTTAGCCATCACCTCCGAAAAAATGTTCCCACCCCCTTTATTTATTTTGTTCATTTTCATTTTTTTTAATTTTTGTGACAAGAACATTTAACTTAAGATCTATCATTTTAGCCAATTTAAAAATATTACATAGTATAGTATTAATCATAGTCCTATGTTGTACAGATTTCCAAAACTTATATTCCTTGCATAACCAAAACATTATATCTTTTAAACACAGTTTCTGTTTATGTTTGTTTTAAGCATAATTTCTTCAATTCTCCAAATCCTCAACTCTGGTCTCATTCTCCATATCTCTGTGCCAGGGTCATTTTATCATGGAAACCTTATCTGACCTCCCGACTTACTCTCCCAATTGCTCATATTTTCTTTTCTTTTTTCCCTAAAAATAGTTTCTTTAGTTATAAGTAGTCATGGGAAAATATTTCTTTCTGTAGGAGCCTTTACTTCAATTTACAATCATATGTTTATCACTGTATTTGCCCAATAACTCACCAAAACAATAGTCAGGTATATGAGAATAGGAAATAGTTCTAGTTTTCTTCACAATTATACAGGGTGGAGCCAAAGTAGGTTTATAGTTGTGAGTACACAAAACCGAGTTTATTATTGTATTATTATTTATTAATTATTGTATTAATTTTCCCTATGAATAACTGCAAACCTACTTTTGCCTCTTCATGAAGTCAACCAGAATTCCAGAAATGTAGTAGGTAATAAACATATGTCCACTAAGGGAACAGATAAAAAAAATAAGAATATTAAATTCATTTTTTACTTCTTTTGTGTTTTGAGATATAAAATATTTTGTGTGATTAGAAAATGAATACTTAACCCAGCAAATGTTGACTTGATTCAGACAATTTAAAAATAAACAAATATTTTGATTACCTGTAAATCCCAATTGCCACACATATTTAAATTGAAGAGAATGAGGAACTATAGTTTGGCAAATATCATGGCTGATGGATCCACTGTAGCAAGGGTACAGAAGGATTAAGGGAACATTCTTCAGAAACCAACATGGATTTCTTGTGCATCCTGGGATACATATATACTAGGAAAAGAAAGTAATGAAAAATGATACATATCTTACTGAAATGTTTCCATATATATTTTGGCTTATAAAATACCCAGCTAATTTCTAAAAATTGCAATTTATAAGTGTTTATAGGACACACCTTTTAACATATGTTTTGTGTGTTTCTCCTGTTCTTTTAACTTCTCTTTCTGTACCCTATTTCATCATGTCCCTGTCTAAAGTGCCCATGTAATATCTGTTTTGGCTTTGACTCACTCCTCAGTCTACAACTATAGTCTACAAACTTCCATCTGCTGGGCTACAATTTTTTAAATCAAATGTAATTGTGGTAACCATTAACAGACACACTACTTAGAACACATATGGCCCAATAGGATCATCACAATGAAATGCCAAGGTACTATTTGAATTTGTTGGCTTTTAAATTTAAATCATTTGAAAAATTTTAATGTACCTAATCAGGGTTTATTCCCTAATAAGATAATCTATCTATGGCAATCTCTAGCATTTTCAAAGACAAAATTCTTAACTGTTTTTATCCACATTGAAATTAATTAAATATAAGCAATTTAAAGTTACTCTCAAGCCATAATTAATTTTAATACACAGCACTATACTGAGGTCTTAGGATGTAATAAACCAATAAACTTAGTGTAAGCTCTGGAGACAGACTCAGGGTTTATATTCTGTTTAGAGCATATCTTAAAATTATTTCTACTTCTCTGATTTTCCAATGAGCAAATTCTCCACAAATTTGGCAGTGGGAAGCACAGCTGAGTAATGGGGCACAAGAAATCACTAACATCTGACATTTCCTTTAATCCAATTACCCAAAATTTAAACTTTCTTCTAATTGTTTTATCAACCTTATCTTTTAATTCACAATACAATTTCTTTTTTTTTAATTCACAATACAATTTCTTAATGGATAGACAAAGTATGAATCTTAAATTATATCTGATTACTATATAGCTAACTGGAATCAATACTAAATATTAGAAATAATCAGAAAAATAATCATTTAATTATATTAAATAACTACCAAGAGAGTACAATTCTATCAAACATTTCTAAGTCTTGAGATCACCAAAATTTTTAACCCATAATTTTATACTAAGACTTAGAATTTTGATGCTTCAGATGGGATCAACTAATCTTCTCTGTCATTGAACATGTGTCTTATTGGACTTATGTTCATCATTGACCTAACAATATAAAGGCATACTATATTTGAATCTATGGCTGCACAAAATAAACTTAACAAAGTAGCATATTATGTAGACTCATCTCTGCATCTTAAACCAAATCACGAAGAAAAACCTGAAAAACCTTAGCTTAAAAGTCAACTCTTAAGTTTTTGTTTTGCTCTGTGTGTTTGTGGGTGTGTTTTTTCAACTAAGAAAATCAGAGAGAGCTGCACTAAAGATATACAACCCTCATTGCTATCTGGCATATTCAGGAGTGAGGAGTCCATTGAAATAAGACTCCACATCTTCTGTAATAACTTTCGGGGATATTGACCAGTAAGGAGTAGATGCCGCTTAGTAAAGACATTGCCAAGCAAAATAACGAGAAAAATGCGTGTCCCTGCTCTCAGGGGTGCTGTGGTGCTCACGCTGTTATTATTAATATCACTGGGAGACAAAATAGGGCTCTGGCATTTTATGAATAAAAAAAGTCCCTCAAAGTAGGTTTCAAGGAAAGTCAGAACCATTCATCCCGAATGAGGACACTGTGAAGGTATCATGACTTTAGACAAAGTTTGGATTTATAGGTGGATATTTGGGATGGGAAATTAGAGCTCTTATTACCGTTCATAAATAACTGTAACACCAATAAATTGCCATTGAATTAACAAAGTGTGTGCTAGGAATAATTTATTTTATTAGAGAATATAGAGAGGTTATGTAATTCAAATGCAGGTCTATTTCTGAATCTGAACTCTCATTCATGACTTGTGTGTTTATGTGGAATTCATACACATATGCACATTCCACAGAAACAATAGCTTTGATGTACAATATAACCTTTAAAGCAGGTTAATAGAATATGAGTAAAGTAGAATAGTGATGGTAGAATAGTTTTGAACAAGTAAAATAAAACATCATTTCTAAATAGCTCCAAGTTTTCTAGCAGACAACAAAAAAGAGAACTCATGAAAATATAGCATAACTCTTCTTACTGATGAGTTTTATTTTGGTGTACTCATTCTAGTTTATTGAGAGGATCATATTTCCAGACAATATTCCTAAGAGATAAGTGGATGTTAAACCATTGATAATCATGTAGTGATATTTATGTAGAAAATCATTTGTTAAATTGACCACAAATCCAATTTTTTTCCCTCTGAATACTGCTACTTTATTTAAAAAATGATTTTCCATAAATCAAATTCTTTCTGAATATGGATTCCAAAAATATTGATAATGAGTAAAAAGTAGTCATCCAGAATTTAAGTGGACATGGTAACTAATATACTATTCACTGACTATTAAAACACTATTTTCTTACTTCTCATAATCTTAAATAGAAAATTTAATGACTCAGAATCAATTGTATGGCAGGACTGGCATTTTTTGTGGAATTCAGTCATTTTACAGTGAAATGAATTTCCAGTAGAATAAATGGTCCTCTCTATCATTAAGATGCCAAAAATTCCACAATGACCTCAGGTGACAGGGTAATATTGATTTTTCTCCATCAATTTTATTTGTATCCATAGGGGTGTTAAAAAGTTTACATGAAAACACTCAGTTAGCTATTATTAATCTCCCCAGATTAATACTTAGAATTTTTAATACTACCTCCCATTGAATACATAAAGAACAAACATTTTTCAAAAATCTGTGGATGTCTGAAAACAGATTTGAGCATTTATTAAGTTTCAAACTTTATTCATGAAATAGAAAAATAGCTCTTTATGTAAAATGGGTTCACTTGTAGTATAGTGAATTTAGGGTGACTACCTCAACTGTTTGCCAGGACTTAACACTTTTAGCATTGTAATGCCTGTGTCCTATCAAACTGGTATGTTTAGTTGCCTAAGTAGATTATATATTCATAGTATTATTTCTGAAATGAAGGAGGATAAGAAACATTTTCAGTTAGTATATGATTAGAGAGAAAAATAATCAGTTCTTCTAGGTCTCTGTAATGTGTGTTTGTGTGTGTGTGTGTGTGTGTGTGTGTGTGTGTGTGTGTGTGTGTGGCGGGGGTTAATTACCACAACATAACCTATCTAACACACTTAGCAAAAGTTCCCACCATCTAAATGTGACACTAAATTTGGTACTGAGAGTTATTTCTATTTTGAAATATTTATCAACTTTATTACATTGGCTCTAATCTTATAAAATATATAGCTCATAATTCTGTAAGAAAACTAAAATTACATTTATTGCAATGAACTTCAGTTGTTTATAGGGTACTGAGAAAAGTATACATTGACAATAGCAATTTTAATTTTCTCATACTTGATTTCCCATTTATTTCTAAGAATTGAAAACAGTAAACAATTCAGAATTTGTACTATTTCTTTTGGAAGTGAGTAGGGTGCCAGAGGGTGGGGATCTACAGATAATGCATTTAGAAATGAACATCTACCTAAATTTTGACAGTGAACTAACTGGAAAGCATTATGCTAAGTGAAATAAGCCAGTCAGAGAAAGATAAATATCACATGATCTCACTCATTTATGGAATATAATGAACAACATAAACTGATGAACAAAAACAGATCCAGAGACAGAATGTCAAACCTCAGAGGGAAGGTAGGGGAGGGTGGGGGTAAGAGGGAGAGATCAACCAAAGGACTTATATGCAAATGGACACAGACACCAGGGGGGTGAGGGCATGGGTGTGTGTGGGGGGTTATGGGAGAATGAGAAAACATATGTAATAACTTAATCAATAAAGAAATTAAAAGTAAAAAAAAAAAAACAACGTTCATTCTTGGCCTTCATGAAAGTAAGCAAGTTGGACTATATTAAAAATATTAAAATTCACCATGACATACTTCTCTGAGGTGATTCTAGGTGATTTTCTAATTCCTTAAGGTCTTTTGTATATCTACCTTTTATATAAGGAGTTTTAATGAGGAAATTAAGGTACAATATGCTTCTCAGGGTCAATTAGGGTCATTTTAAAGTTGAGATCATTCACTTGGATGAGAACACTGGGCTTTTAATATCATTACTAAAAAGATAGAATACCCATTTTAAAACTATGCCTGAGCCAGGTATAACTTTGAGTAGTAAGAAGAAGAGAGGGACCTAATTTTTAAAAACTAAAATATAATTTGTTTCCTAATTCCTGTATTCATTGTTCAAAAAAAGATGAGTAATTTTAATTATCTTTACATGAAAATTTGACTGGGTGGTAGTGCATATCAAGCTGTTTTGGCATAATTATGTAGTTAAACTTTGTACATCATTGTAAAAAATTCTAGTCATCAGCATGTTGTCAAGCTGAAGTTTTTGTCAGTTGACAGAGTGGTCATCCATCTGCCTGAAATTCTAGATCCCTAAACCGTCTGTGTCTGATCCCGGATTTAAATAGGAAAATGTTATAAAGAACTCGGGAAAGGAGGTAGGAAACATACTTAACATATTTAAGTATATGTTTAAGTATTCTTAAATATGCTGAAATATTTATGAGTCTCTCTCTCTCTCTCTCTCTCTCTCTCTCTCTCTCTCTCTCTCTCTCAGTTTGAGGAAACAATTCCTTCTTATAATAGGCGAACACTGTTGTCAAACTAAACTTTGAGTTACTATTACAAACATGAGATAAGATCATACTCTGTCTAGTTCAACTGTGTGTGCCTGGAGCACAGAGTTTGCACAAGGTAGGTTTTAAATAAACATGCTTTCGAGAGAACAGTTAGTGATATCACACAAAGACAAGACACAAGGAAAGAAACCTACGATATGAAAAACAAAGGATAAAGACATTTTCCATAAAGATACCTGACTAAGGATTTCACTAAAGCTTATTGAGTAAGAATGAAAATTAGCTAA